CCGCAAAGGGCTGAAGCAACGTATGGCTCCGTTGTTGGGTTACCAAATGGGAACTCAGGCCTCGATGAGCAGCTCAGAACAGATTGCGGTGCATGTAAGCCCCTCTAGAGCAGGTGAAGCAGTGACAGTGCATGAGGACCCAGTTGGCCAGTCTGGCGAGGTGGCAGGACCTGGACAGATGGCAATGGGATGTCAAGCATCTGTAGCTGCGACTATGGCTTTGGAGGTGCATGCGGTAAGGGCTGACATGGAAGTGCAACAATGTTGTACGCTGGATTTCGAGGTTGAACGACTTCCTGGCAAACCAAGGTCAGTCTGTGCTAGGTTCTGTTGGGTTTAGTGCGACGCCAGCAGCCACACCGACACGAAGCCAACAGCCGGCAGCAGCTACGAGTCAAAGATCGATGCAGGGATCTCCACTGCGTTTCGGCCGCCGCATGAGGAGCTACCACAGCGTCGCGCGAACTCAGCACGTCAGGGGGACCACCAGAAGAGCCCCCCTTGTTTTCTCGAGAAGCCTGGGAGCAGAAGCAGAGGGCTCCACTCAACGACAGGGTCTTCGGAGGTGTGGGCAGCCCTCTAGCGACGAGAAGATCGTTGGCAAGTCGGCTCCCCGGGTGGCGGTCTTCGGCCAAGAACCCAGGGCACAACGTTGGGGGCCATGAAGGTGAAAATGCACAGGAGGAGATTGGACGAGGTGGTTGTGAAGCGGCTTTTTGATCTTCTACCAAATCAGAGGTTCTCAAGGGAAACTGTGGACTTCGATGGCCCAAAGGGGAGTCAAAATGCCTGGGCATCTGGAGAGTTCCGACATGGTGGCGGGTTGGCTTTGAGAAACTCAACTAAGGAATTTCCCTACTCAACCAGGCTCATCAACCAGTACATCCGACGGAAGCTTGGAACGTCAACGACCTGGTCGACTTTCTCCCTCCACGGGAACCTCAATGTGAAGAGGCATCGGGATTCTCACAACGCTAGGGATCAGTACTCCCATTCGATCCCGATCACAGACTTCAAGAAAGGTGGCCTTTGGACACAGCTGGCCACGACCGAGGATGTTGATGAAGGTGAAGTGGTGACGTTGACTGGGCAGCGAGGGCGAGTACATCCTCTGCAGGGCTGCAGGGGATCAAGAATGTGGTTTCCTTTGACTCCAGGCAGTGGCACGCAACCATGCCATGGGAAGGAGAACGAGTCGTGATAGCGGTCTACACGGTCCGGGGCTTGGACAAGATAAAGAAGGTGGACGAGGACATGGCTTTGGATTTGGGTTTCCCGTTACCTTTGACTGTGGAGGACGAGCCAAGGATGTGCAAGCTCTTAGAGAACGAGGGCGGCGAGCAGGTCGGACCTTGAGCTGGAGACCGTGGAGTCTAAGTGATGCACATCAGGATGTCTGAAGAGGAGTGGGTGACTACGAGTGCAAGGTATGGCCTGGACCCCTACATTCCGGAGATGGCAACCAGGTGACGTCAGGTACAGCCGGTGGACGGAGACCTGAACTCAGTGATCGCGGCAGCGATTGTGGCGGACCTGGGGCGAGATTGGGCTGAACGTCCAAGGATCTACCTGGTGTCCGAAGAGGGAGAAGAGTTTGGAAGGTTGTTGGCTCTGAGGTCCTACAGGGTGCCAAACTACGACTTGGAAGGTAGGGAAGCAAGCTTCATCAGGGCCTTCAAGATCCGCAACGATGTGTTGAACGTGGAGGAGATGATTATCTTGTGGGTCCATCGGCGAGTGATCGTTCGACGAGTGCCAAGGGATGATCAAGCCGGAGGAGATAGAGGCGGACACGGGCCTACTAGTGAAGAAGATCCACGACCTGAGGACCTTGAGGGTTGCAATGATGAGAGTCGAGGAGGCAGAGCAGGTGATGTGGTTCATCGAGGTCTCCGAAGATGAGCTCGCTGAGGAGCTGAGGAGGTTCTGGCCAACGTGAGCCCTGAGAATCCGTTGAAGGTGACCCACACTGTGGACTCTCGTGAAGTTCTACCGGTGACGAAAGTGTTGCAAATACCGAGCCACATGGATGTTGTCCTAACATAATTAAGAGCAAACATTGTTGGTAGGGGCGTGCCTACTGCTACGACCACCACCACTACTACTACAACTACTACAACTACAACTGCTACTACTACTATTTCTACTACTATTACTACTACTACTACTACTACTACTACTACTACTACTACTACTACTGCTACTACTGCTACTGCTACCGCTACCGCTACTGCTACTGCTACTGCTACTGCTACTGCTACTACTACTACTACTACTACTAAATACCACTACCACTACCACCAGAACTACCACTACAACTGCTACTACTGCTACTACTGCTACTACTGCTACTACTGCTACTACTGCTACTACTGCTACTGCTACTGCTACTACTACTGCTGCTGCTGCTGCTACTGCTACTGCTACTGCTACTGGTACTGCTACTGCTGCTACTGCTACTACTACTACTACTACTACTACTACTACTACTACTACTACTACTACTACTACTACTACTACTACTACTACTACTACTACTACTACATACTTACATACTTACATACTTACATACTTACATACTTACATACTACTACCACTACCGATTCGTGCAAGTTTCTGATTGAAGGAAGGGTGCGCTACCGCCCTGGGATGACCAGAGCCACCTTCCTTGCCACGTGTTTTTTCCAGGGCCTTGACCATCGCCATTTAGGGCTGGGCAAAGAAACGAGAGCTGGGACGCCGAGTCTGGCAGCACAGCTAAATGAAGTCTTGAGAGGTCTCACGCGATGAGCAAACCACGAGGATTCATCGGGTCGCTCTCGTCGTACTGGTACAGGACCACCTGCAAACAGGCTGCTAGACCAGACGTCTGGAGTCTGGAGTTCTCGTTTATGACCTCAACTCCAGGCCCACCTGGGGCTCGGATTTCCCGCGGATGGCGTGCAAATTCATGTCCATGAAAGCTGGCTCCGAACGCCTCCCGGTCTCCCAACCTCGGAAAACCCTGGCCAAAGGCCAACTGCCCCGGTGAAACTCGGACACTCCAACGAAAGAGGCTCTGAAGTATCTTCTCATGCCGGCTTGCCTCTCTCTCCGCAAAAGTAGCTGGGCGCCAAGCCCATGACCGGCGTCAGGTCCGATCGCACGATGTACATTTCGCCTGGACTTAGCCAACTTAGCCATTTTGCGTCTGCTGAACTGATCGCTGGAACCATGCACGGTTGCTACGCTCAGCACACTGTCCTCGATTCATCTATTTTCACCGAACCGTTGCTGTGTTTAACACACTTTTATTCAGGCCCGCCACTGTGCTAGCGTGCAGCCGTCCTTGCCACCCAATCATCAGCAAGCTTTCTTGTCCAGAGCGCGATATGGGAGCATGCATTGTGCGCGACGCTTCCCACACTGCGATTCTGTGTGTGTGTATATGTTCGATAACCGCCCGAATGGAAGCATGGACGCGGTAGCATGGACGGGCCACACAAAAGAAAATCTTACTTCAACCTTAGGTACTTGCCACTTTCCTGTTGCTTTCGCGGGCCACTTCTGGTTCTTTGGTCAGTGGCAATCATCGACGGTTTCGGGAGGTCTTTTGCGTGTTGGCAATCCGTTCTTGTCGACAGCCGCCTTGAATCAGCTTCTCTTGCCGTGAAGGTGGCCGCGCGGCTTCGTGCAGCCCCAAGCTGACCATGCTCAGCGAAACTGCTAGACTCTAGACCACAGGGCGGTCTCTTCGGAGCAGAAGCTCCTTTCACAAAGGCCGCCACTTTAAAACTGTAGCTTCAACCATCTTTACCTGCAATCCAACCAAACCAAAGTCGCCGACTCACCTCTCTAAATCCGTGCCGAACGTACTGAGCTTCGCTTGGCCTCTTACCGGAACATGTGCATACCTGATTGGCTGGCTGTCGCCTCGGCCTGCGAAACAACGAATCCCGGTCTGAATGCCTTTCCGATAAAGTCAAGGATACCTATGTTTAATACACTTCGGAGAGTCTTGGAGCATCGCTCGCTGGTATTGCCTCCGACAATACTGAAGACGCGCCTCCCCTTCACCCCATTCTCATTCTACAGGACCTCTTGCTTTGCATCCGTGAGCAACCCTGCCCTTCCGTTTCTCTGACTGTGACCCTGCAGGAGACAGGACCATCTTCACTGATACAATCCTTCCGTCGAGTCGGAGAGTTCAAGCGGGTCTTTGCGCGTCGCCTGCGTTGTGTGTCCGGGTTTGTGAAGTGGCGTCTCTGGCGGCAAACCCTCTGCTGAAGGCATCGCTCCTTGTGCGCAAAGTGCTACTGCAAAATGCTGCAGGATTGAATTTACAGCGTTTTGCAATTCTGTTAATCCTGCAGTGCTGCACAGCTGTGCGCTGCAACGTGACCGCGCTCTTCTTATGCCACAACAACGCAGCAGCTGCTTGGAGAAAGCACGCGCTTCTTGGCGCAATTCACTCCGCCGGAAGTCTATCAAGTCTGCGGCGGAAAGCAGTGTGAAATTTGGTCACCTCGCTGAAATGGTGCCCAACACAGCAAAAAACGGGCGGAGCTGCACGACGTCCTGGCTGCTGCGTCATGGTAGTCTCACGGTAGTCTGCCAACTTCAGAGACTCATACGAGCAACACTCGCCATAAGACACGGTGCGTCTCTCGTATAAAGTGTTGCAGTTGCAGACTCAGTATAGTACGGCTACGGCGGGGGAGACTTTGAAGTATAGGCACGTATGCAGCAGCACGCAGAGCACGTATGAAGAGAGTGCGGCCCCGGCGAGGCTCTGGCGGATCAGCGGCTCTGGCAGGTCCAGGCCCCAACTCTCGGGCCTGGAAAGAGGAGAGAAAGAAACAAAGAGTTTGAGAAAGAAAGAGGAGAGGGCGAGGAGAGGAGATGGCAGCGCCGCAGCGCCGCGGTATGCGGGCGCCCGGCTGGAAGTCGTCGACGAGACGAAGGGACCGGTCCTCTCAGCAAAGCGGAGGCCCCCCGCCGACTTCGGGAGAGCTCCGTTCCGGCGGCGGCCGGCAGTGGCCTCGATGTCCAAGCTCGTGTCTTCCAAGGCCGCCTCGAGCACGAAAAAACGAGAGAAGACGTGGGAAGAGACGAGACGGACTTCCACGTCTCCGGGGGGCCTGGAGGAGCTTCTGCGCCTCCTGCCGCGAGGCCTGCAGCGAAGCGCCGCGCGCCCCACTTCTCTGCTCCACTCCGCTCCCCGCTTCTCCGCAGCCTTGGTCTTGTAGTAGACAGTCACCCGCGACTCGCGCGGAGACCTCGAGAGGAGCCGGCAGATGCTTTCTCTGCTTCGCAGGGCACGGAGGGCTGACATTGGACCAGCTTGGGCCCCGTCTGCTCGATGATGGACCGGTGGTCGTTGTCCGAGATCTGGATAAAGGGCACGAAGCCAGAGAGCACCTGCCAGAGAGTTGAGCTTGGCAAGGCCAGCAGTTGAGAAGTCTGGCTGAAGGCCCGGGAATGCCCGAGGCCCGGGCTCCCTTCTTCGCGGACTTGCCCTTCACGTTCAAGCCTTTGCCCACCTCAGACAGAACGCAGTGACGCAGTGTGGGATCCTGGGGCGTCGAGGTGTGCAGGGGCAGGGTGCGGCGCACCGCGACCCCAGACAGCATCTTGGCAATGGCGTCCTTGCTGGTAGGCCGGTACACCGCAAACCTGCAGCGCGCGCTCTTCAACCACAAGAGCACGGCATTGTGAGACTCGACCCTGATAGCTGGGCGGAAGGCCAGGTGCTCTCGCCGTGAGCTTTGGCATCTGGCCTGGGCACTGCAGATAGTTCCGGCTGCCTGCAGAGACCCCGTCGAAAACGCTAGAGTATATAGAGGCTCCGGGCGCCAACTGATGCAGCTTCAGACTGCCGCGGGGTCCTCGAGCGTCCCCGGCCATGTAGAAGTCTGCAATGAGCTTCCTGTGAAACAACAGCAGATGTGTGCTCCGCCCGCGCCCCTCTCCCCCGGTTTCCCCCTGCATGGCCCTGGCCCGGGGCCGCAGCCTGGGATCCGTCAGGTACTGCTGTTGTTGCAGGTCCGTCATTGGCCCGAAAAGCCTGCAGGAAGCGGAGGAGGCAAGGATGATCGGGCCGTGGCCGTACGCCGTGCCTTTCGAACTGCTTCCGGGTCAGGGCCAGCACCTCAGCACGCAGCAAAACGCCGACTTGTGCACCGACTATATTGTACATTTCCATCTGCGCCGCTGCACCTCGACGCTGGTGACCGCAGAGACGAAGGCCGCCCGCGGGGCGTTCTTCAGCAGCGCGAGCCTCGGCGCGGTGGTACCGAGCGGCCGTGGCAGCTGGGGGCGGCTGGGGGCAGCTGGGGGCAGCCTGAGGCAGCCGGGGCCGAGAGCCCGGCTCTCCGAAGAGATCTCCCGCCTTGTAGCGCTTGTATTCCTGCTCGTCGTTGCCTGTCACAGAGCAAGACACTTCGGGAGGGCTCGCTGCCACAAAGCCACGGCCTGTTCGGACCCATACCCGTGCCTGAGGCGAAGGTCTCATCATCGCTCATCATCGCTCTCAGGCTCCTTTGAAAAGCTTCCCCCGGCTGCGGCCGTGGCCACGCCCGAGAGCATGATGAAGAACTCCTTGCCCTCCTCATGCTGCCGGATGATGTCCTGTCGGCTGGGGGCCCAAAGCCCAAGGCCGAAGGCCGAAAAATGGCCTAGCGGCTAGGGCTCTGTGCTGTGCTTTCTCTGCGGTCCTCCTTGGGCTGGTAAGTCCGCTTCTGCAAGGTGTCGGCGATGCGAGCGATGCCCTCCGGCGGCATCGTCTCGAGCCTGAGAGTCGCCCCCCAAAAGGCGGAGGGGCATACATCCTTCAAAAAAAGTCTTACCTGGAGAGGAGGCGGAAAACCCCGTGAGAGCTAGGGCAAACATCAAGGAACCAGAGTCGATAGAACTCGGGCAGCGTGGATGCAAGCACGTATTTCCGTGAAGCTTTAAACCTGCCATATGATAGTAAAATTCTGCACTGCGCTGGCCCATTCACCCTTGTCGTATCGTAGTACCTTGACCGTCCCGGCACAAGCGATAACTTGGCCATCTACGAGCAGCTTCGAGCTGTCCTGGTGGCAGCTTAGCTAATTGCTGAGGCATCAGACTTGAAAACTGCTACGTAGGCGCACTCGGCCGCGTAAAAACAAAAGCTGCTTAGCTTGTCCTAAATGGACAGCACATGTCATTCTTGAAGTTTACCGACTTTGCTACGCTGCAACCCATCCAGGTGGAAATGTGGTTCTCGATCCGGAGACTGCCGTAGCATAGCTGTTTCGTACTCTTTTTTGCAGGGGAACCCTGTTACCAAGGGTAGCAATAACACAAAGCCATGCCAGTCAAAGGCTTCAAAAACCAGGGGGCAGTGGCTCCACTCAGCCTTCCACTGGTAACAATACTGCTGCTTGGATAGGAGATCAAAGGGAGACGTCCCTGCCTGCTTAAACAGTCCAGGGATAACCAGACATGGCTATTAGGCTATCAGGCCAAGACACACCTGGACAATATTGCTGTAAATTGCTGACTAGACGCATAACGGGACACTCCTTTTTGTGCACCCACTCGACTGTCCATCTGTATCTCGGAACTCCCATGCGTAGGATAAGCAAGCGCACATCTTGTGCGGTCCCGTGAACATGTTTACATGGGCTTTGGCCAATCACATCCCCACCCCCATAACAGGTATGGCGGAGGGCGGGAGTGGTAGGGCTCATGAAGAACCCGTCAGCACAAAGTTGATCCCACAAAAGACGCTTCACAGAAGCCGTTGAGGAGTGCTTCCGCGAATTTTCGTGGACATACTTGTGCTCGCTGGGTCAGAAACTCAGCACCTGCAATCCCAGCAAGCTGCAAATGCTCCAGAAGGTCGTGTCACGATCGAGTACCGAAGCCTTAACCAAAACTCACCGTGTAAACGTAGCCGCTACTTGCGAGCTCGTTAACCTCAATCCGAGCATCCTGCTTTCCTACATCAACACTCCGTGTCAACGAGGCGACCCGTTGACCAAGATCCTGCCCCTTCAGAAGTGGGCTCGAGCACTTGAGCTACTTTCCATTGCTACCGTGCGTCTGCCTGATGTAGTTTGAGTTGCGAAAGTCCGCAATCAGTTTAGCTTTTTGCGACTTGCACTTCATCAAAAGCTGTGCATCTGAGTCAAGCTTCGAGGAGCTAAGCTTCTCATCGCGTTTGCACTTTGCTAAGCATTGCGCGTGAGGATGTCGTGACGACTTCCTTTGTCAGTGTGAATCCTTCTCCTTTTAGGCTGCTCCATTCGCCACAGGGAAGTTCACGCGGGGAATCTACGGTAGGTCAGAGCTGTTGCCTCCTCGAGTTCTAAATTAAAACGGAGACTGATCACCTCCACCATGCAGTCATGTACAAATTTTCCAAGTCAGGAGGGGGGAGTTGAAGATTTACGAACAACCTCCATGTCAAGTGATGTTGCCTGACTGTGTAATATCTGCTACGCCATTACTCATTTGGCGTAAGATGAAAAAGAGCGTTTTTGAGTCTCGCTCTTGCCTTCAGTGTCGGGCTTCCTTTTGTGGTTTCCCTTCCCGTCCTCCTTGTTCTTACCCTAACATAGTATCATCTCTGTTTGGGATCAGAAGAACTTTTCAGCTACAGATATGCAGCTCGGCCAAGACAACAGAGCAAAGCTGGAAGGACCTTCAATGGCTAACACGTACCCACTTGTTGATCGTGAGGTGTCAACACAACCAGCGAAAACGGAATCGCAGTAAAGCGATAACCGCAGCTCGGAAGGAGGACCGTTGATGCACAAGATCATTGCGCAATCAACGGAGTTCAGAATGTACCCGACGAGCCTGTGGATTCGCACATTCTTACTCCAAGAACAAACATGGGAGGCAAGAGTGGTAACGGCGACAAGCAAATCGGGACGGCTCAGCCTAGCCGGCCAACTTCAAAACTTTCATGAGGATCCTAGCCGCAGACTCAGTCAACTGGCCGTCAACGAAGCTACCGATTCGTACAACTGCACGCATTGTTTGGCGAAGTCAGCTGACTCCAGAGCTAAAGCTTTCTTCTGCTGCCAAAACACAAACCTATGGCAGCGCCCTAGGACTCTGGTCAAGGGTGCGAATGGTTCGAGCTCGACCTGCTGTGAAAGGGAGCGCCTGAAACCATCGTGCAACGACCGACGGCCAGACAGAGTCAAATCGTCTACGTAGACACATAAACCTAAACCTAGAGACTTGAAGAAGTGAGCCGAATGAAAGTTTGGAAATTCTTCTCCGCCGAATTTCAACAAAATCTCCTGGAGATGCTGCTGCAGAGCTTTCAGGATGTCTGTAAAGGTCGGAAGATGTGCTTCTTGCTTCTGAGTGTAGGCTCGCACAGCATCACTGGTCGTAACGCCGTGAGACTCAAGCAAACCAAACGCAACTGCAGTGCTCAATACCTCAGAGAGGACGGAGACGAAGCGAAGAACTCCTCGAAGACTGCTGACAGACCTGACTGATCCCTGATGTCGCACCGCGAAACACGATCCGAGCTTTGAGTCGCCACTGATCTGGAATCAGCTCAGATCCTTTCACGGATAAAATGATCATCGAATTTCCAAAATGGATAACATTTGAAGTCCTTGTGGCCCAGGCGAGAACATTGTTCTTCGACACTATCTCATCCTCTAGCCAAGTGCCTACACCTACAAGCCCGTCTTTCTCCTTCTTTATGGCTTCATACGCTCCTGGCTGCCCAGCCCACTCCTTCCGATCAAGAAGCCGATGAACTAAACCTGGAATCTTTACCTCTTTCATCCCGGACTCGTGCATCAGCACATCGAGTGGGACTCGGGGCTTACAATCTTTCTCGCGATGAAGCTGTGGCAAAGATGGAACACACGGATGTGCAGGCGTCTGAAACGCATCAGTAAAAGGAAACAGCGACATGAGCAACAAATTGTAGAATGCTTCAGGGTAAAAATCCACACACTCGTTTTGAGGGTTGGATCCTTGGGGGCTGGATCAGGGGGGTTTGAAGGCCAAAACCAATTTCCTCAATAGTGCAGTTCAATATACCGATTTAAGGTTTCAAGCAGTTGTAGTATTAGCTTATTTATGTATTTTATTAGGAATTTCAGTGCCGGGGGCACGGCCGTTGACCAAAACATTTTAAAGCACACTGGGAAGCCAGCGTGAGGAAACCCTTTTTTGCCAAACATTTTTGCATTTGTCCAAGCCGGATGTATTGAGCGATGGTGTTCGCTTCTGTCCAAGCCGGATGTGTTGGAAGCTGAAACGTGGTCCTTTGTCACGTGCCACTGCTTGGTTGGCTTGGTTGCTTGGTTGGCTTGCTTGGCTTGCTTGGCTTGCTTGGCTTGGTTCGACTCGCCCTACCCATCCTGCACGCCCAAGCTCAGAGTGGTCTTAGAGACCGCTCCAGTCGGGCTCGGACCACGTGAGCAATGGGTCCTTGATCCGTGCGGGACAGCGTCGCTGGCCGGGCGCTGGGGATTTACTCTGTGTGCTGCTCGCCTGTCCAGCCAGGTGGGTGTGTCCGCCGCGGGGTGAAATGCACACAGATTGCAGGGAAGGCCTCGCTACTATTAATAAATACTATGCCACGTACCCACACCACGGTCGAAATATTAACTTCGATCACTGCTGCTTGCCGGCATGGCCCCGCATGGCATCTTATGCTGTGCCTCATTGACAGGTCTTCAGTAACCGGCGCGTCGCGCAGCGATTCCGGTGCACTCGATGACGAGCATGACCTGTCCTCTTGCGGGCCGGTATGCAAGGCAATTGGATTTCAGCGCTCCGCATAGGGATTTGCCGGCGCATACTCAGCAGGGTGACCCCATCTTGGCCGAATGGGGGTGGCATTTAAAGAAGTCTCCAGTCCGCATGACTGTCAGAGCACACTCGTGTTTGCAAAGACGCTGGGGAGGCCGTTACTGTGTCGGCATGGCATTGCTTGGCTTGGTTGATTCGATTCTGCAGTGGCATCAATTCTGGTAGCATCAATCAATTGTGGTAGTCAGCATGGCATTGCTTGGCTTGGTTGATTCGATGCTGCAGTGGCATCAATTCTGGTAGCATCAATCAATGTCAATGGTGGTAGTCAGCATGGCATTGCATGGCTTGATTGCTTCGATTGTTGCGGTGGCATCTGATTCGATTTTGCGGTGGCATCAATTCTGATACCATCAGTTCTGGTAGCAGCAACTGTGGTAGTCAGCATGGCATTGCTTGGCTTGGTTGATTCGATTTTGCAGTGGCATCAATTCTGGTAGCATCAGTTCTGGTAGCATCAATTTGTCAATTGTGGTAGCAACAATTGTGGTAGCGCTAATTGTGGTAGCATGATTTGCGGTAGTATAACTATTGTGGTAGCATCAATGGCAAGGTCTGCCTGGCATGTTTTGACAGAGCCGGGGGGGGGGCAGGGCTGGCATGAAATTTGCATTTTGCCAGGTGAAGTCGTTTCAGAAGGCATGTGAGTGATATTTGCGCGGAAGGCTCAGTGAGTGTGTGTGTGTGTGTGTCAGCTTGCTTGGTGATTGATTGTGAGCCCCTTGTAACCTAATGCTGCAGTTCTGGCTCAAGTGGTCTGCCTGGCATGTTTTGACAGAGCCGGGGGGGGGGCAGGGCTGGCATGAAATTTGCATTTTGCCAGGTGAAGTCGTTTCAGAAGGCATGTGAGTGATATTTGCGCGGAAGGCTCAGTGAGTGTGTGTGTGTGTGTGTGTGTCAGCTTGCTTGGTGATTGATTGTGAGCCCCTTGTAACCTAATGCTGCAGTTCTGGCT